ACAGGAATGCAGGCACCTCACTCCCACCTGCCCTTAGCATGAGGAAACCTTGTCTGTGCTTGCTGTGGGTCAGCTCTCCAGCACCACCAGCCTCTGTCAACACAAGAAATGCCTTCCAGGCCTCTGCAAGCCCTGCTCTCTCTTTACAGGTTAATGACAGATACACTCCCATCCCTCAGTCCTCTGAGCATCTCCCTGGAGTGCCCAGCCCCTGGTCCACTGGACACTCACAGAATTCCCAGATCCTTTGTTCCCAAAGGAATAGCACACTACAGCTTACTGGTCACACCATAGATCACAGTTCTGGTTCATGCATGGTACTTAGATTTGCTTATAGAGAAAGCAAGTAGTTTATTTAACAAAGAACAGAAATTCAAATCATGGCAAGTAGAAATATTGGAATCAAAGGGTTGCATATAAAATAAAATCATAACATGCATACTAAACTTACCTGCCAAGACACTGTCATGTCATATAGACCAAAAGTTCACCCCAAATCCTTCCAGAATATTTCACCCAGGCTTGGCTGTGATCTTCCCTTCACAAGACAAGTCACATTGTCTTCTTGCCTCTTCAGTGGAAAGATCCAGAGTTTGTCTGTGTCCCTACAGTTATAGTCCAAAATTCCATTGTCTTCTCTTGCAAACATAATAATCCCTGCTGCTTGTGTTTTCCTGTCCTAGAATCTCCTCTGGAGAATCATGCTGTCTGGAGTGGTTCACAACTGTGAGTGCCCATTTGTCAAGAAACAGGGAGAGACCCCAAACTGGTTGTGTGTTCTATAATTAGATGTCACCGACCCAGAAACAAATGTGAACTCCTGAAGCTCTGTAACACTCTTACCATAGATTCACAGACAGTCCCCTTGTGCATTCCCGTCTATCTTGCCACCCAGGAAAGCTGGATTTAGTGATAGTTGGTTGCTATACACAAAAGATCACAAAATATTCAGGTTGCTCCCAGTCCCAACCTGAGTGAGTCTATGGTTTTCAAAAATGGCAGAGTTGCAGTAATTTGTCAGCTCTGAATGTCTTTTAGGGCTAACCCAGGTTGACTCTGGGGATTTCTGCTTCTGTTTCATAGCTCCAGCCCTGTGAGAGTCCAAACAACAAAAAAGAGGTGACAAATTTTCTTGTCAGCTATTTTTATATCCTTCTTCCAGAAATCAAGCTGAAGGGATGAGCCCTTTTGCACGTAGCCTCTTCATGAGTGTGAAGGGGAAATTAACAAAGTCTTTGTATTGTGATGTCCCACAATGGCCCATTTAGTTTTGGTAGCCTTCTTGGCAGTTAGGCAACGATCCCTCCTGACTAGGTTCATAGTTTCAGAGCAAACATTTTTTACAGTCATAAAGCAAAAACGTACATATTGCCTTATAGCACGTGATAAAGATGTTATAAGTGAGATTAATGCATGCAGCAATTTACAAGCATTTCATAAAGTCTAAACACTAAACGCATTGTTATAAGTCCAATACCATTGTAACCTTACTAACACACAGGTGAACCAGACTGGTTTCCAGCAACGAATTTGTCAGTGCTTGGCTGAGGCCTAAAGCTTTGGCAAGAGCAGTCAGCTGGTCTTGATTAGCATTTTGCTCAGACTATAAATAGGCATTCATTGTAAAGTATACAATACTCAATTTACATGGAGACAGACCGATAGATAAACCAGTTTCTTTCAGGCAGAAGATGTTTATCAACTTCTGGTGATGGGCCCCAATTCACAGACCATAAAAATGTAATTTTCAGCATACATACATAACTCCTTACATATTATCTGTACATAAATTTCACAATGATTATGATGAGCCGTGTGACACAGGCTTCTGGTAGAGACCTTGTATAACATGCTTTGGTGAACTAGTATGTAGATACCAGATGCAATGGATCCTTGTAACCCTATGTTGCCCTCTTCCTGTCAGCATCAAGAAGTCCCTTGGTCACAAACAACAAACAGCATTTATATTATAATACATAATGGATATCAAAACCAAAACATATGAATACAGGCAAACCTAATTAAACTGGGATTGGTTTATTCATGTCTCAGCAGCTGAAAGTTATATGCTAACCAGTGACAGAGCAGATGCAGCATGCATCATTGACTAGAGTATTCAAAACTGCTGTTTTATTCAACTCCAAATAAAATAAAAAGTGCAAGCTATATCGGATGAACTCAGTCATACCGTAATTAGATTGCATAATTCCAAAAAGCTAATTTTGATCCTGGAATACTTTTATATTTTCAACTTGCTGTGGCAAGTCACACCAAGCCATAGAACGATCTAACAAATGTCAGAAGTCCCTATGATGCAAACCACAAGGAATCCAAGAGTATGGGGATGTGCAAGGTTCCTTACATTTAGAAGAAGAGTACTCACATTTTCATAATCAAGTCTCTGGACTTTTGTAAATCACTCTGCTGTTTAAGAGGCAGCCCCACAACATTGTTTCAGTGGTGGTGTGATGTGCAGAGGCAGGCAAGTTCTAGTGAGCGCTTTGCTAAAGGTCATGTGGAGCAAAGGACCTGGGGAGCCACCACCGCATAGGGAGATGTGACTATTTATCCTTAATGTTAAAAAGGTTGCACTCAACCCCTCTATAAGGCAAATTCAGCCTTAGTGTGAATGGATAGAACTCCACTGAAGTCAATAGTGTTTCATATATATGCTAGGTTTGAATTTGTGCTACATTGTAATGAGACTGTAATGCTCTGAAAACCCTAAAACAGAAATATGAAGGGCCCTAGCACTCTGTGCACAACTCTCATTGATACCAATGGAAGATCCGTGTGAGCATCTAGGCCAGTATATAGCGCTAAGTCTCCACAATATAGCTGATGTGGTTCTTAATGGAAACTTGAGGTCAAACATGATATGGCAATTATGGGCTAATCTGGAAAGTACAGGACATGATATTCTTCTCAGCACATGGTGCAGTAAAGTGGATAAACACTACTCATCCTACAGTAAAACCCAATACAAATCAGATTGAGAAGATCGGAATTAATCATTCAAAACTGACATGGCTATTCCCACAGCAACCACACCTCTGAAACTCTGTCCAATTTATTTGGCCAGCCCCACTGTACAATTTTCTGAGGTTATTAAGCCACAAAGTTGTAACTAGGACAAACATCATACCCGTGGCATACATAATTATATATAAAAACAATTGGAAATATATGAACAGAAAAATACATTTTGAAATGTAATATCAGTTAATTTTATGATTAATAAACGTGGAAGTTCATCAGTTGGGAAATGCTGAATTACGTTCTATGCTCATTCTGCTTTCCTTGAAATAAATGAGAGTTTTTTTGCTTGTCTTGTCTATTTGAGATTGAGAAAGGACTGTTTTTTACTAGGTTTTTGTTCAGTACCTAGCACAGATGGGGCCCAAATCTCAGAGGGGGCCTCTAGGCGCTATTGCAATATGAATAATTATAGTTTAGAAAGCAACCATATGTTTCTAAAGAGAGGATTAAAATGATGGGGTAAAATCCTAGCCCAGTGAAGTTAATGGCAAAACATCCACTGACATCAATGGAGCTAGTTTTTCCACCCTGATGTCTGCATAACACCAGCCTGGTGTCAGAGGGACACTGCTGTTGGAGGCTCTTGGCTAAATTCTGCTCAGTTATACTAGTATACAGTTGAAGTAACTCGACTGATGTCAGTGGAGTCAAACCAGAGTAAATCTGGAATAAATGAGGGCAGAATTTGATGCTTTGACTTTCAAATGACATGCAAAACCAAGATCCTTTCTCCACTAGTGATCATGCAGCATTTTTCATATCTGCAAGGCATTAGCTCTGGTATCCTGGCCAAAATCCAGCTTGGGTAATCATTTATAATAAATAAAATAATATTTCACATGTATACATCATGGGTGTTATTCTCCCTATGTTATAGATAGGGCAACTGAGGCACAGAGAGGATAAGTGACAGGCCCACAGTCACAATGCAAGTCAGTGGCAAAGCCAGGTATTAGAACCCAGGTGTTCAGACACTCAGTCTTTTGATTTATTCACATGACAATGACCTTCCAAAACTGCATTCTGCCTAGCTGAGATGGGCAATTTCATTTTTGGTTGGATCAACTATCCTTCACTTCCTGTCCTGAAATGTGTAGGGCGGCTATGTCTGTCAATTGTTGCTATGTTTCAGCCCAAAGACTGATGAAGTCACTTGTGAATAGTTTGTATATCAGTCTGCTAGGTTAATGATCCTTTTGAAGGAAAGGTGTTCTATAACTGTGAAAGATTCTGATGGGAGTTAAATTGTGTGTACATTAGGGGCAGAATGTACCCAAGAGGCGTATGAAGGATGTGATTATTTGCAAGACATTTTTATGGAGATCTAAGAAATGAACTGATTCATCCAATGACACTATAATGTATTTCCAGTATTGATCAGAGAAAAATTTATTTACAGAGATTTTCAAATACAAACATAATAGCACATTTATATTTTTTTTTACAAAAATGAATATTGAAATAATAAACATGGTACAGCACAATACAACAACAATGAGCTAAACGTAACAATGACCAAATCTATATCTGGAAGACGTTTCCCATTAGTCTTACGTAACCAACAATATCCTACAGTACCATGAGTGGAATTCTCCCTGGACTGAAAGATGTCCATTTACTGCCCTTCATAACAGTACTATAGGCAAAGCCCCTATATATGCTGAGTAAAATGTTGCATTTTTGTAATAATGCTGAAAACACAGAAGCTAAATAAAAATTCTATAGGGCTGAATAAGCAGTGAATAAATGTTTTGGGAAAAAGAGTAGAGAGAATATACAAAATACTGTTAAAGTGGCTTATTGGTCCATTTATTAGGTTTCATGTGTAGTTTAAAAAGTGGTATAACATTGAATTTTAAACCATCAAATGAATAAAAAAAAGAAAAAATGCACCAATAAGTTTGCATTTTATTTGTTCTGTGCCATGGTCTATACGTGTGTGTGTGTGTGTGTGTGTGTGTGTGTGTATGTGTGTGCACGCACACTTTCAGGAGTGTTGTGCTTAAGGGGAATTTTGGAAGATTATACCCTACCCAAAATATTATTTTCACCAGTCTTTCAATTCATTGGTACACCCATACCTTCACAATTTAACAAAGGGGAGCATTCCTTGCTCGTAAAATTGTATTCTTCTAGAACAGACCAGAAATATACTCTGTCAAGCAAGAACTGCCCATGCCTTCCGAGAGTCACAGCATTTGGTCCAGCTTTCCAGACTCCCCACCCTCCCCACAATTCACAGTGTCACCTCACGTCCTTGACCAGGTCCATTCTCATTTCATAATGGCTGTTCTGCAGCTAGGAGCTAAAGCGCTTTGTTCAGAAGAAGAAGTCTGCAAGTCACTTCGGCCTCTCGAAGCTCATTCATTCTCTAAACTGGACTCTCAGGCCACCAGCCTCAGTAAGGGTACTGTTTCTGTTTCTTGCCAGAGAAGCAGGCCAACCAAGTGCAGATTAACATAGCGGCAGCTGCTCCTCCTCCGGTGCAGTAGTAAGCCCAGCCAATTTCACAAGTACCTAAGATGAACAAACAAACCAAGGAAACAATGTTTTATTCAAGGAGAGAGGTTTGCTTTCACCATAACTTTATAAGCTCTTTCCTTTTGGAGGGAAATGAAAGCAGAAGTAACCAAATACAGCATATAGTGCTGTGTATTTTATCCCCTGTATCAGCTTATTAGTTTCATTCTCCTTGTAAGCAACTTATATTTATACACCTCCATCCAAAGCCTTCCTATTCTGGTAGAAGGCAGCCAGATATCGGTGCTATCTAATCTATCTAGGTGCCCATGAATTTGGTGTCTGAGCATACAAGAACTTTCTTGCCTTTTTTTTGTATTAAATGTAATGCTAATGCGAGGTACTGGAAGGCTGTAAATATCTCAGGGCAGTGACTGCATCATCTTATGCATTTATGTAGTGCTTAACACACTTGTCTTGACTGGCCCTTCTCAGCACTATTGTAGTAAGTGAAATACTGAACATGGCCACCTGGAAAAGGTACAAGTCATTAAATGATACAGATCCACAGAATCCTGTCTATAGTATGGCTAATTAGAATTGGCATATGCACTTCAGGATCTCATAGCTATTTACAATATGGATTTATTACACAGTGTTTATATGGACAGAAAGTCTGTGTTAGAATGTAGACTTGAGCCAAATAGGTTCTCTAGGGTCCTTTTACCAATCTACACAGCATCAAATCCAACAGTGAATTTGGGCTATTGCCAAGGGAATATAAAATTCTGGAACTTCCCCCCCTCCCCCGAGTAGTTGTGAATGGATATGGGGAGCCAAATTCATCCTTGGTATGACTTCTAGCTTGTGATAAAAGGAGTTGATTCACAGGGCCCCACACTCTGTTACTAGCTCAGTGTAGTCAGTAAACCAAAAAGATTAGATCGGTCTATGCTGGAGTAAGTATTCAGTTCATGGGTTTAGCCTGGTAACTTCCATTCACTTTAACATGAGGCAGACAATTTAAACTACACCAGCCACTTCCAAAATGGAGGCATGTTGTCCTCATCCTGGAAAGAAATGCAGATAGGCAGGCCCTTGTATCTGCACAGGGCCTCACTGATTTCAGTGGAGTTGTGTAACCCACACACCTCCTGGGTGTGGTGTTCTGTCCCATCTAGTGGCACCGAGACCATTTAGAAAGAGAGAGAGAAAGAGATTAATAAGTCTGCTCTTCAGCCATAGCTAACAGACATATGGCTTTTAGCTCATGCAGTAGAGGCTCATGCATTTGGTTCCAGGTTCGATCCCGCCCACTGATGACCGGGGTCTGTTGGTATTACAGTTGCACATGTGTCGCTGTGTGCATTTCTTGCAGAATGGTAGCCTACATTTCCAAACCTCAATGAATAAAGATATTTAAACTTCACTGTACACTACTCCTCTTTCCTCAGACTGCTGGAAGGGACAGAGCTGTGGAGTCTGCCTGTTAGAAATTTCCACACCTGAAGCAAAACTGGTGAATCTATGAAGATAGAACCCCCCCACCCCCTTTCTCTAATGTAGTTATACAAGTCTGTCATAATAAAAAGCAGGGCTTCTGGGCCTTTCTTTAAAAGAATGCTTCTAAAACAACAACATTTATAAAACTGTGAAATTTCATACTGCAAAAATGCCCCAGTCTGCTGCACCATTTCCCCAAAGAAGGAAACTCAACAAGTTTTGGACAGTTCCACTAAATTAGAGAGGACATTGCCTTAAACTGCATAAAACAAGCATGTGCAAATGACTGGGCCTTTATTACCTTTTTGATTAATGAAAGAGCAGGAGTGTTTTAGGCTGCTGGTGAAGAGAGACTTTAAAGAGTGAAAAGTATCACCAGAGCGGATTCCTTTGGGTTTCAGAGGAGTTCCAAATACAACCAAGAGGCTGCTCTTTATTGACCTGAGGTGCAGTGCTCCTTCTAGAGTTCTGTCCACCTATATTTAATTCACCCAAACAGGGAATATTCAGCTGGAGGATTTGGTTTGCCTACAACCCTTTCAAGAAATGAAAGAAGCAAAATTATTTAAAATGTTCCCCTTCGCTGTCTATCATGGCTCATCAGACAAGCCTCAGAGCTTACTTGGTTGGCAAATAGCTGTTTTCAATGCAGGGGAAAACTACACTTGACAGTTAAATTAGAGGTTGCTGGCATTGAAAATAGGTTAGCAGTGGAGCAGACAGCCCCACTGCCTGCCAAGTCCAGAGAGAGAGGCTGTGGGGCTGGTTTCCACAGCAGCTGCAAATCAGAAGGGTCGATGTTTTTTATTTTGTTTTGTTTTCTTGGTGTCTTTTTCTGCACTACAGGCAGCTTTTGAGTCCCTTTGTGGTGTTGTAGCAGAGCACTGGGTCTCACTGCAAATAACTCAGTTCTGGAACTTTTACATGCCTCCTCGGAAATAACTGCACGAATCATCCTCTGCCCTTATCATAACTGGTCTGAAAATTGTAACGAAGTTCTAAACTGCTACCCAAAACTACCCCCAGAGTGCCATTGCAAGCAGCCTTTCCTCACTGTTCCCCATGCCAGTCATACTCAGTGGCCCAAATCCAGATGTTGATTTGCTGTGTGGCATGGAACTGCCTGTAGAGACCTGGGACCCAGTTTGATTCCACAGATGAACAGTACAACCAAAAGTCTGATTAGGGGAAGGCGCACATGTGGCTATTCTCTGTCCCCAAACCTCTCCCCCTGCTCAGGGGATGGAGTCCAGGAACCCACTTCCTTATGCCCTTGGGGATAGGAGGCACTGCAGGCACAGAGCCATCACAACTCTGTTGCAGGAGTTGGGAAGAGGGGCGGGGGGAGATTCCCTGTATGGTGTAGAGGAATTTAAAGGAGACCACGCAGCCAGCTCAGAAATGGAATCATCAAATGGAGAAGGTGCAGCCTCTATCTGGGAAAAATTGCCCTACTGGAGATCAAGGAGAGCAAGGAGACATCTGCTTTCCCACCTCAGGACACCTACCCATCCTACAAGTCATTTTTATTTGGGCCAGATTGAGGCAATCCTGGGTCCTAAGCACACCATGATACAGTGGCCCCTGCGGCTCAGTTTTCATGGTACATTTGGAATGGAGGTGGCAGGTGGCCTCCTTCCCTCCCATAGAGGCAAGGGCAGCAGCATGAGGCCCTCTTCCTCCCTCCAGGAGCAGCAGCAGGGGTGACAGCAGGTGTCCCCTCTGCCCTCTAGAAAGGCAGGGCTGGAAGCTGGTTACCCCCAGGTGCCGGGGTGTAGCTGGGCTGGGGGGTCTGGCCACAGCCCTGCCACACACATTCTGGGCACACCTCGTTCTCTGTTGGGTGGTTTTGGCAGCACTCCTAGAGCAGCGGATATTGGAGTTCAGAACCTATGAAGATGAATGGGAAGCTCTCACCTCTGAGAGCAATTGTGTCAGGCTGTCTGCAGGACCACAGCACTGTTACACTTGTTGCATGTTTTCGGGGTTTTCTTCACAAGCCTGAGGCCTGGAAACTGTTTCCAAAAAAAAAAAATAAAAAAAGAGAGAGAGCTGCGATTCTGACACAATCAGATGACTTGAGGATCTGGGCCCTATGCATGGGCCTATACAGCCTATGCCTTAATCCAGCCTTGGGAGGGCAGCCAGACTTAGCAACTTGCTAGGTCCCACTTTTGTGGTTACTCCGTAAGGATTAATACCACACTCGGTGGTGGCCTCTGTGGCTCCTGTGAGGGACCAGAATCCTTTGAGTGTTGCCAAATGGTGGGAAGCTTGGCTGAAGGAGGACCTTAGCCACCCAATCCCAGAAAAGGTGCGAGTCCCACAGTGGAGCAGGTGTGGAGATCCTTCAACTCCCCTACACCATGGAAAGTCTGGCTGGTGCAGAGCCAAAAGTAAGAGTTTAGCCTGCCTGTGCTCTAATGTATAGGGCTTATTCCAGTATGTGTTCCTGACTATTGACAGCAATTTATAACACCGATATACCCCCTAGAGGATCCCACATTCCTTTTCAATCTACCTTCCCACCAAAATAAGCTTATTTGCCACATCAGAGGGAGAATCTGCAGCCTGATAATAGTGCACAGCAACATCACAAAACAGTTAGTGAAGAAGAATCCTGTCACGAATGGAAAGTTCAGGTGGAATTCAGGCAAGCAGAATGCAGTCACTAAGGTCAGAATGTTTCTCTATGTTCTCAGGCTATTGAGGAGGAAGTGGGAAGCTGTTTTTATATATATTATATTCTGCTGTATTACTTTGTGTGTTTTAACCTCTGGGATACGTGCCCAGAGATGATGATTGGTGCAGATAGCTGGATTTTACAACAGAGAACTCTTATCTAATAACTATTGCTTGTACATGGAAAAATCCATTCTTTTGCCTCTGCACAAGCATAACAACAATTTCAGCTGGGATTTTCAGAAGAAGCTGGCAGACCAGGTGTCAAGTCATGCCAAGGCCCCCAGGCCTCACTGAACACTGACAAATGCATATCTGGAAACTAATCTGGCTCACCTGTGTGTTAGTACTGTTAAAATAAGTATTAGATTTATAGAGATGTTTAGTGTTTGGACTGTATGAAATGCTTGTGAATTGCTATATGCATTAATCTCACTTATAATATCTGTACCCCATGATGTATAGTAATATTTAAGTGTTTGCTTTGTAACTATTGTAGTGTTTTCTATGAAACTGGAACATTCCTCCCCCCCCCCCACCCGAGTCAGGAGAGAAACATTACCAAGCAATACTAATACTAGTTTGCCACAATGGGTGTCATCTCCTGCCCAACAAAAGAAGGCCCACAGAAGGCCAGTGGACAAAAGACTTTATTGATTGCTCTCTCCACACCCGGGAAGAGAGGATGTGTACAAATCCTTGTCCCATTACTGTTTGAATTCTGGGTGAAGGGAATAAAAATCCCTGACCAGAAGGCTCTGTATCACTATGCTACTTGGAATTTGGAGAGGGCAATATTTCTAAGCATAAGCAAGGGATCCCCAAGCGTTGAGCTTGGGTTAGCCCTAAAGAACATACAGAGCTTGCACATT